GTTCTTCAGCAAGGCCCTTAACTCCCAGCTCCCTGAATGCTGATATGGGTGGCTGCCCTTCATAACCAACTTGATCTCACTTACAGTGAGCAAGTTGGGGGAAGCATTAAGAGAATTTTCCCACACGGATCAATATAAAAACAAACAACAGTTCAGCATGTTATTATTTATTTATGTTGTTTATAACAATAATAAAACCAAACTGAAGAAGCCGTGTGTGAAAAACTAAGTACAATTATTCAATAGCTTGTAGCACCACCTTTAGCAGCAACAACTCTAAGTAATCATTTCCTGTATGACTTTATCAGTCACTCATATCATTATGGAGGAGTTTTGACCCACTCTTCTGTACAACGTTGCTTCAGCATTTCAGTCGGCTTGAGGTCTGGACTTTGACTGGGGCATTGCAAAACCTTGATTCTTTTCTGTTTCAGCCATTCTGTTGTAGGTTTGCTGGTGTTCTTGGGATTATCGTCCTGTTGCATGACTCAATTTTGGCCAAGCTATATCTGTCAGACGGATGACCTCATATTTGACTCTACAATACTTATGTACTGTATGCAGAGGAGTTCATGCTTAACTTAATGACTGCAAGGTGCCCAGGTCCTGTGGCTACAAAACAAGCCCAAATCATCACCACTCGACCACTGTGCTTGACAGTTGGTATGAGGTGTTTGTGTTTTTCTCCTGCGTATGAAAACATTTTGTTGTAACTTCTGACCATTTACTCTTAAAAAAAATATGAGATACTACTTCTATACTAAAACTGTACCATAAATAAACACATAGTTCTGTGACAAAAGGTGACCATACTGCCTCCAAGATTTTTGGTGGTACTGCATCTCGCACATGCATAGCGTTAATTCCGTGTGTAGGTGCACTAAAGACACGTGGGATGAATAAGGAATACATGTGATGGCCATGATGCATAAGTGAACTCGTTGTGAGTGTTGAGTATAAACCTTCGATAGCCTTTCATGAGCAGCTCCTGGAACCAGCCACTCTCCTGTAGACCAGTGACCCTAAGTATACTAGGTGCCAGTACTCCCCTTCTTATTCAGTGCCAGGTGCCAGTGCTCTCCTTATTATTCAGTGCCAGGTGCCAGTGCTCTCCTTATTATTCAGTGCCAGGTGCCAGTGGTCCCCTTGTTATTCAATGCCAGGTACCAGTACTCCCCTTGTTATTCAGGGCCAGGTGCCAGTGAACCCCTTGTTATTCAATGCCAAGTACCAATTCTCCCCTTGTTATTCAGTACCAGGTTCCAATACTCCTCTTGTTATTCAGAATCAGGTGCCAGTACTCCCCTTGTGATTCAGTGCCAGGTGCCAGTACTCCTCTTGTTATTCAGAATCAGGTGCCAGTACTCCCCTTGTCGCCTTTCAATTTTCACAGAGTCGAACCACAAAGAGTCACTTTTCTCCTGATTTGGAGGCTCTGTCAGTCATGTATGGACCTTTTTATTTACTGAGAGAGCTAACTGTAGTAACTTTACCTCCCTCTGGATGCCAATGTTTACACTGCCCAGAATCAACTATACAGTACTATAAACAAGCAGCAGCGGGATCATCCTGATGGAATTAATCTTATAGCTGCTGACTTCATTCAGGGATGGCTAAAGACTGTTCTCCCCAAATTCACTCAATACATGAACTCTGCCACCAGGGGGCAAAACACACTTGACAGTGTTTATTCTAACATCAAGCATGGCTACAGAACTGTGCCTTTACCACATTTAGGCCAGTCAGACCACCTTGCTCTTCTCCTCATACCAGCCTATATCCCCCTCAGGAAGAAATTAAGACTTGGTCAGATGGTGCTATTTCCCAGCTACACACAATGAGTGAAGTCATTTTGAATATCAGGACTTAGAGCAGGACACACAAACTCTGCTGTTCTACATTGCAAGCTGACAATGTCAGTGTCAACAAACCCGCCCAGGTTTTTCCAAATCAGAAACCCTGGATAATGAGAGAAGTTCACTCACTCATCAGGAACCACCACACTACCTTCAGGACAGGGGACAGGGTACAGTACAGCACAGGGAGAGCTGATCTGAGGAAGGGCATCAAAGCTGCCAAGATGGCACAGAAACTGAACATGTAGGACCACTTCACAGACAGCAACCAGGGTGGGTGTGGCAGGGAATACAGCAGATCACAAACTTCAAGGGCAGCAACACCACTACTGTTAATGCAGAAGCCCCACTGGCAGGGGAGCTAAACAGCTTCTTTACTTGCTTTGGACACACAGGTCAGACACAGTCACACTGCCCCCCCCAGCCTCCAGCACTCACACACGGACTCTGCAGGAACACCAAGTGAGATGTGCACTCAGGCAAGTCAACCGGAGGAAAGATAAGATAAGATAAGGTAATCCTTTATTAGTCCCACAATTGGGAAATTGCATCGTCATGGCAGAAAGTGGACAGTACAAGATAAGAGCAGCAGAAATGAAAAACAATACAATAGAAACTATACCAACAGTACAGTATAAAACGTACACTATACAAACAATTTGGAAACATAAATATGGATGAGCGTACTGAAAAATATAAATGTATAATATAAATGGAAATATTGAAATATCGTGCCATAAATGTTATCCAAGCTGTCATCTCCCACCCAAGCTGCTGGTCCTGACAGAGGATCAGGAAACGTACTCAAAGCATGTGCTTACCTGCTCTCTGGTTTCCTCACCAAGATCTTCAATGTCTCCTTATCCCAACTCACCATCCTTCCCTGCTTGAGGTCATCCACCATCATTCCTGTCCCAAAAAAGTCTGATATAACCTGCCTCAATGATTCCAGGCCAATCTCTCTCACCTCAGTAGTGATGAAGTGCTTTGAGGGGTTGGTTGCACATCACATCAAGGCCAGCCTCTCTCCCTCCTTTGATCCCCATCATCAAATTCCTGAGGATACACATCTCTGAGAAGCTTTCCAGGTCTACCAACACCTCAACACTTGCTAAGAAGGCACAACAGCGACTCCATTTTCTCAGAGTATTCATGAAAAACAAGCTGGATCAGAAGCTGCTTGTGGTGTTTGATCACTCTGTCATCAAACGCATCGTGGCATACTGCATTACAGTGTGGTATGCCGGAGGCTCATCTGCAGAAAGGACAGTCCTCTAGAGGGTTAGAAACTCTGCCCAAAAAACCATCAGCTGCTCTCTGTTATCCCTGGTCTCATGACCTGCTCATCCGATCCTCCCATGTGCCATGCCCCCCTTGCTACCTTATGTGGAATCCCCGTGTTACCAGCTGTTTCTCATTGTGAATTAGTCTGATGTATTTAAGTCTGCATTTGAGTAGGATTCCTCAGTCTGGTCATTAATGTCATTTTGAGTTTGTTGCCTCTTCCATTGCCCAGCTTATCTCTACCTTTTGATTAAACCCCATGTTCCCCGATTCCTGAAGTCCGGCCTCTGCTTCCCTGGTCCGTAGCCCATACTGTACGTGCGTGACACCTGGAGGTCATCTCCAGCTCCCTCTGCCTCTCCAGAGCCCAAAACATCCTCAGAGACTCTGCCCGTCCCGCAGGCCACAAGTTTGACCTGCTGCCCTCTGGAAGGTGCTACAGGTCCATCAAAACACGCACCTCCCGACTCAAGGACAGTGTCTTCAATTGGGCCAAAAGATCACTGAACAGCAACAAAAAAATCTCCATGTAGAATATTAGTCATTAGTGATTACAAAACCCAGGTTAATAATACTAATCCATTTTTATTCATCTTATTCTTCACAAGGATTGATTTTTGCTACTTGCCTCTGTTAGTTGGCTGTTTATTACATATGCAAACACAGACAAGTATTTATTTGTTTGACTGTATTGTTTTGATTCTTTATTGCATTGAACAGTAGCCGCACACCTAGTTTTGTTGTGTATTTTATATACAATGACAATAAAGCTTCTATTCTATTTTATTGTTATTCAGTGCCAGGTGCCAGTACCCTCAGCAGATATTGTGAGGTGCCGGTACTCTGAAGAGAAAAACAAAGAGCTGCTGGTGCTGCATAACTGTGAGTACTGACCCACTTCAAGCACTGAGTACATTGATGGAAAGCATATAGTTTAATATCCAAAGTACCCATTGAATACTGAAGGAACATGCAGTGTAATGGCTATACATTTTTTGACTTAAACACAGGTGAAATATGGCCCATAGTTATGACTCCAAATGATCAGTGGACGTCTCTGCCTGTGACTGCAAGCTGCCTGTGTGAGTAAAAACTGACCAGTTTGCTTTGGTTGTAAGATATTACAGCTGCTAAACTGACTTTTGAATATAAAGCTCACATTACTTTTGGTTTTTATTACAGAGTCAGACTGATACACAGGACCTGGTTTCCTTACAGCCATAAACATCTAAGCAATGGCTCACCAAGAGGTTTGGCTACAGCATTTCGGCATTTGATGCATTTTGTCCATAAATACCAGACACTGAACGGCAGGGAAGCTTAAGCTGAGTAGCGATTTTCAGCTGAAGGTTGCTGAACATATCAGACAAAAAGCTCCCTCTCCACAGTGCTCTTCCCCAGGCTACTCCCGTACTGTACCGCCCTACACCAAATGGTACAGATGGGCTGCAACAGAATAACTTAATCTAAAATATGTATAATTATATTACTTCCGTACCACCCTACACCAAATGTTACAGACGGGTTGCAACAGAATAACTTAATCTAAAATATGTATAATTATATTACTTCCGTACCGCCCTACACCAAATGTTACAGATGGGCTGCAACAGAATAACTTAGTCTAAAATGGGGCAGCGTGTGGCTCAGTGGGCTTAGCCGTGTGCCTGTAATCACAAGGTCGCTGGTTCAAGCCCAGCCTCAGCACATCTGCAGGTCCTTGAGCAAGACCCTCAACCCCCAGCTCCCTAGGTGCCTCTACAGGTGGCTACTTTCTACAAAGAGCTCATTGAGGGAGGTATAAAAAGAATTTCCCCACGGAGATTAATAAAAAGTGTCAATCAATCATTAAAATATGTATAATTGTATTACTTCTGTACCACCCTACACCAAATGTTACAGACGAGCTGCAACAGAATAACTTAATCTAAAATATGTATAATAATGCTGCCTTAACATGATGTTTGCAGTCTGTTTTGATTTTGACCATATTGTTTTTATGTGCTCTATTGGGTCTTAAACTATTTTTATTGCTGTACTGTATATATTGGACAAGTCTCGATTTAAAAACAGATTTTAAAATCAGTGAGACTAACCTGGTTAAATAATAAGGCAGAAATAAACACACGTGTGTCTCCTATAGTAATGAAAAATCACAGCAGGTGTCTTCAGCAGCCACATAAGAATGTGAGCAGGAAAACTGACTTCTTTTAACGTAAAGTTCAGTGCATGTGTGTGAGTGACTATAAACAGGTCTGTGAGTCTCATGGACTCTTCTCTGACATTCTGCAGACCCAGACCTCGCTCGCTATCCTCTTGCTGCATTCTCTGGAGGAGCTCACTGAAGATGAGCTGACTAAGATTAAATATAACCTGATTCACCTGGCATATGAAAAGTATCAGCGCATTCCGAGGGGTCAGGTGGAGAATTTGAACAGAATGGGCATCGCCGACATGATGATACGTTCCTATGATGAAGTCGGTGCTCTCAATGTCATGCTTGAAATCCTGAAGAAGATGAACCTGAATGATCTTGTTCAGAGACTGAATGAAGACCTGCAGAAGTGTAATCATATTTTTAACCTTTCTTGTTTTTCATATAAAATGTAATCTTTTTTAGGTCTTGAAAAATATATGTATTAAATAACATTACATTGGAAATGATGAAGCTTGTTACATACTGATGTTGAAGACAGAAATGAATATGAAATTCTTTCTAATTTCAGGTACCCAAGCAGGAAGTGAGCTGGGTGACGTATCAGAGAAAAGTAAGAGCTGTACGCTATTATCTATATGTATGTGGTGTTTCAGAAAAAAATGTGTATGGTGTGAAATTTAAAGTGTCACAGTGAAATAGTGAAAAACGTGTGTGTGTGTGTGTGTGTATGTGTGTGTGTTTATATTCTGGTCAGGATCCTATTGAGAAATTGTGCATTTTCCTCCCATATTTCTTCAGGAGACCTCATGATGGACAGAATAAAATGTAACCTGAAGAAGAAATTTGAGTTTGTAACTGAAGGGAAAGCTAAGGAAGGACAGCCAACACTTCTCAAAGAGATTTACACAGAACTCTACATAACTGAAGGTGGGACTGGAGGAGTCAATGATGAACATGAAGTGAGACAGATTGAAACAGTATCCAAGAAAAGGCGAACAGAAGATACTAAAGTCAAGTGCAATGAAATATTTAAACCCTTATGTGGGCGTGAGACACCTATCAGAACTGTACTCACTAAAGGGGTGGCAGGTATCGGGAAAACAGTCTCTGTGCAGAAATTTATTCTCGACTGGGCAAAAGGAAAAGCAAACCAGAACATTCACTTAATATTTGCTCTTCCTTTCCGGAACCTGAATTTGATTAAGGGTGAATTCAGTCTGATTGAACTGCTTCACCACTTTGACCCAGAACTAAAGTCATTTGAATCCACTGAGCTGTTAAGTTACAAAGTCTTGTTCATCTTTGATGGTCTAGATGAGTGTCGCCTTCCTCTAGATTTTCAGAACAATGAGAGCTGTTGTGATGTAACAAAGAAAATGTCACTGGATGTGCTGTTGACTCACCTCATTAAGGGGAATCTGCTTCCATCCGCTCTCCTTTGGATAACCTCCCGGCCTGCAGCAGCCAGCCAGATACCTACTGAGTGCATCGACCAGGTGACAGAGATACGAGGTTTCAGTGATGCCCAGAAGGAGGAGTATTTCAGGAAGAGATTTAATAATGAGAGCCTGACTGAAAGGATTATCAGACATGTGAAATCATCAAGGAGCCTCTTCATCATGTGCCACATTCCTGTGTTCTGCTGGATTTCAGCCACTGTTCTTGAGAGTCTTTTTAGTGAAACTGACAGTGGAGAAATTCCAAGGACTCTGACTGAAATGTACACACACTTCCTGATCTTTCAGGGGAGTTTAAAAAATGACAAGTATAGGCTCCAGACCTCTGCAACCCAGAAAAGGACAGGCTGGTACAGAAAACTGAAGGATGAATGGATGACAAAAAATGAAACCAAGCCTATTAAATGCTTCCTTCTAAAACTCGGTAAACTGGCTTTTCATAACCTTGAGAAAGGCAATCTCATATTTTATGAGAAAGATCTGGAACAGAGTGACCTTGATGTCAGAGAAACTTCAGTTTACTCTGGAGTGTGCACAGAAGTCTTTAAAGAGGAATATGGGTTGTATCAGGATAAGGTGTACTGCTTTGTGCATCTGAGCATCCAGGAGTATCTCGCTGCTTTATATGTGTTTCTATCAAAGTCATCAGCTAAGCTACTGAAGACTGCAGTGAAAAAGGCATTAAATAGCAAGAATGGACACTTGGACCTCTACCTCCGCTTCCTCCTGGGCCTCTCAACAGACTCCAGTAAGACTCTGTTACAAAGGCTACTGGGACAGACAAGATTCAGCTCACATAACATTGGGGAAACAGCGCAATACATCAAGGGGAAAATAAAGGAGAATTTATCTCCAGAAAGGACCATCAACCTGTTCCACTGTCTGAATGAACTGGGTGACAATTCTCTAGTAGAGGAGGTGCAAAAATACCTGAATTCAGGAAGCCTTTC